AGAGCTCGCTCCGCCCAGTTGTAATGATAGATCAGCGTCCCCAAATGACCTGGGGATGCTGATCAGTCATTAAACAATAACAACTGGGCAGAGCCGGCTGTGACATCACGTCTAGCTCTGTCCAGTCGTTTTTTTGTCCGGGACCAGCTAGAAGACTCTGGCAGGTGCCGGCCAATAGTAAACAGTTGGGCGGAGCTAGCGATTATGTCACCGCTTGCTCCGCCCAATTGTTTATATTTTGCCATCATCTGTCAGATGCTTCATTATGCGGCGGGAGTTCGTCGCATGCGGTCTGGTCGGCGTATGTTGTTTTTGTAAAAATAGTTATTTATATATTATTTGAATTTTTTTATGTCGCTGAGTTGTTGAGGTCGTGGACAACGCTGGACGTCGTGATTGACCTTTGGATTTTAAGGAGGAACCCCACCCCCAAAAATGGGGAAAAAAGGACATGGGGGCACCGGCGCACGAAATGAGCCAAAGGATCAGCCAAAGCTTGGGCTGGATCCTTTGGCTCTATAGTGAATAACCCTCTAAATGTAACCCTTTAGTGAATGGGTAGTGGTATAAGTTTTTTTTAAATTTTAACCTCGGAGGTAGTGAGCAGAATAGAATAGTAGAGAACGAGTAGAGAATGAGCAGAGAACCGCTCAGCGGCATTCGGCTATTCACTCACTGCCATTCAACCCGTATGAGAATGGAAGGCAGCCGTACAGAGCGGGAGTGAATAGCCGAACGTCGTTCGGCTCTGTTCACTTCGGCTCGTTTATTCACTCGGCTGCCTCCAGCAGCTTTGTGAATAACCCCCTTAATGTTTTCAACAAACCTAACGTTGGCATTGATCTGAGGCAGTACAGCTCAGTTTTCCAAGAGATTCTGCTACAATAGTTTACTAGTCAATACTAGCTTTATTTATTCTTCAATCCATCACTTTATTAACCTCCTACTACATTCTTCTAAAAACGAGTATGAGCACGCAGGGGCCAGCAATGACAGAAACGAGACTTCTCAAATACAAAATCAGTGTCTGCAAAGGATCGTGGGATGGATGACTTTTATATTACATGTGTAGACAACATGTCTCCAGGAAAACCATCAATAACCAAGAATTTATACAGTAGAAACCTAATTAAATTCAGTAGAACCTCATTCTTTACACAAATCTACTGCTCTATGTCTGTAAACTGCAGTTCGAAGCCTAATATTACTTTTCAGTATCAGATTTATTATGTTACATAATATCATGCCACCATATTACACATTCTTTGTTTTCCTGAATGTAAAGAAAATTAAATATTAAATATTTAGTCTGGTATTACTTCAAACACATCAAACACACTTGATTAAAGAGAAATTGAAAACTATTTAGCAAATATTGTTCCTTTACTAAAACATGTTCCTTTGATGAATGTGCTATTATATTTGAACTCCATCACTGCTAGTACCCTGTTGAATGTGAATGACATTGACCTTGATACATATTTAATATGATTTTAAAAAATTAAGCATGTTCTATAATATTTCTGGATCTCAGTGTATTCTTTATTAATTTAAAGGAAAATGAATGCAAAGTGTGACATTAAAGAACAATTCCAGTCTTATTATAGAGTAAGATATAACTTTACCATGATACAATAGGATTTTTTTCCTATTGCTATTTATTAAAATTACATTAGGAATATAAGTTATTCCTATTTTATTTCTGGAGTTATTCTTTAAATCAAAATAGTATTTCACATATACTGTAGCTGGTTCAGCAGCAGAAACAAAAGCTAACCTGTGATGCTATCTATTGAAAACTGTGTAGTGTGAACCATCAATGGACATACCCAGATCCACATGTGCTATGATTGCAAATGTTAGCACATCCCATGGAAATTGACATTTACACTTAGCACAGTGACCTCTGCAGCTCAAAATTATAAAAAAGCAAAAAAACAAGATAATGTCACATTGTGCAAGTTTACTATTATTATTATTATTATTATTATTATACAGGATTTATATAGCACCAACAGTTTGCGAAGCACTTTACAATATAGGGAAGACATTACAATCACAATACAAATCAAGACAAGATGGTAAGGTGGGCCCTGCCCCAGAGGGCTTACAGTCTAAAAGGGAGGGGGAAGTGATACATGAGGAGGGAGCTGTATGGGGATGTATTGTTTGAGAGCGTGATGGTTGAGCGCTTAGGTTGAGGTGGGATAGGCTTCCCTGAAGAGATGAGTCTTTAGGGAATACCTAAAGGCAGTCAAGGTGGGCGACAGACGGACAGGTTGGGATAAAGAATTCCAGAGGATGGGAGAGGCTCTAGAGAAGACTATGGATACCTTGTCTGGAGTGTTTCAGAAAAAAATGATGGAGCAATAGGCAGCTAAAGATGGTTTCTTGAGTAGATAAAAACGTTGTTTTTGCCAAGTATTTCTAAAACTGTATGCATGCTGTGCTGTGAAAAAATCCTCTTCTCTTGTCCTTCTACAGTGATACTGGCCTCAATACTTAAAACTACTAGGATTAACTTTCATTGCACCATTTCCCTCTATTAGACAAATTTATGAGCACATTCTGAGCACATTCTCCAGCTAGTTAGCACAAAAAACAAGTTACACATTTTCTCTATCTCAGAGTTTTTTTGTTGCATATATTTGTAAATACATGTGAAGTCACACTACTTTGTCAAGGCATCCCTGTAAATTGTGGTCTCTAACTCATAGCTATGTGTTTCCAACTATTGTAAATATATAACAGTGCATACATTGTGAGCGGGCTCATCTGGAGGCAGCCCCCTCCTCCTTAAAAGTACAGCAAGTCCAACATTGTTGAAGGCAACTGAAGACCTCCAGTGTCCACCTTCTCCAAAGCAACTTTGGGAAACTGATCAGACCAATATTAATCTAGCAAAAAGGAGAAAATGAGCATAGGCAGGACAATATACAGAGCAATAAAATTACCCGGCACGCTCTCCTGCTCAGCAGCACAAGAAATTATTATAAAAACTGAAGCATATTTATGCAAATACATGTGAAGCCACACTGCCCTGCCAAGGCATCTCTAGAAAGTGTAGTCCTTAACTCAAAACTATATTCATAGTGTATGTGGCACCAGTATGTGAGCAGCAAAACAGAGGGGGGCCCAAAACTAATAATACATTTTTTCCTCAGCAACACCATTCTCCGTTTTTTTCAGCACTAGTATATGAGCACCAGAGAAGAAGGGACCCAATCATACATGTTTCCCTCAGCTAGACCATTTCTTTATCTCAGTGTATTTATCACAGGTATATGAGCTGCAGAGGAAGGGAGGGTTGCTTCTTGGCTGGATTTGTTCTGTGGTAATAGAGATCTAGGCCTATCCAGACAGTGATCCCAAAATTAGATCCCAGACAATAAAGCTTGTTGCTTGCTAACGTTTTTAACATGCAATTACTAAACTTTTGTAACTAACAATAGGTAGGTTTGAAAAAGTCCATCATTGCCTTCTCTATTCTATATTGGCAGACTCATGGGCAGTTAGGGTAAAAGAAGAGTCAATTCAAAATTAACCTAAAAAAAAATATAATAGGAACAAGCTAATCAAATAAAAATAACAGTCTATCGAAAAGTAAGCTTTTTAGTTATAGGTGATAGAGATTGAAATTTCTTGGACACTCCAAAACAAGAGCTCTCTGCCATATTTCCTTTCCTGGGAACTTTAGGTGTTTCCACCCATCCTTGTGTGTTCCAGCTCCTCCTGTTGTATTCAAGGGAAGACTGACCTGAAGCCACAAAATAATTTGATGCTGAAAGATGTGGAAAGGTGCGATAAAATAAATCATGTCTCTTAGGAACACCCACATCTCACTTTTGAAATTGATTTGTTGACCAATCAATGCAAAACTACACTTTGGATAATACACTTACTTTAACCCACAGAAACCAGTATATACTGTTGAAATCATTTAGTTGCTATGATTGCCTTCAAGGTCAAAGACTCCCAGTGCTCTTTTCTTGTGTTTCTCATAAAATAACATGAATAAAAAATCCAACAAGGAGAGCAGGACCCTCTCATAATGGCTGCAGCAAGTTTGCAGACTCGGGGGCCGAAGACATTTGAGCAAAGGAGTCTCCAAGAGAATGAGAAATTGTCAGGTGGTTTAACTCTTCAGCTTCAACTCTAAACTAAAATGTCAGTTATCAGTGGACTAATTCTTCAATGCAACCTCTTATACTCTTACTTACAAATAGTGCAGAATTTCATATTGCGGTTAGAAAATGTGCTGTTTAATTTCATGTTTGACACTATAAAAGATAACATCAAATCATTACATATACATGTCCCTGTATTCCTCATCAACTCTTATTGCCATATAAATTATACTTCTATACAGGTGAAACTCGAATAATTAGAATATCGTGCAAAGTTCATTTATTTCACTAATGCAACTTAAAAGGTGAAACTAATATACGAGATAGACTCATTACATGCAAAGCAAGATAATTTAAGCCGTGATTTGTCATCATTGTGATGATTATGGCTTACAGCTCATGAAAACCCCAAGAACCCCAAATCCACAACCTCAAAAAAGTAGATTATTACATGCAATCAATAAAACAAGGATTGTACATAGAACAATATCGGACCTCTGAAAAGTACAAGCATGCATATGTACTCAGTACTTGGTTTGGGCCCCTTTTGCAGAACTTACTGCAATTACTTTTGCACGATATTCTAATTATTCGAGTTTCACCTGTATGTTATCATTCAGTTTACTGTTGCCAAAGTAGTTTTTTTCATATCAAAAAGCAGTCAATTTGTCAAAGAAATAATCAGATACACTCTAAAATGATGTGCAATGTGTATGATGAGAAAATCAAACCCTCCTTCTCGTAAGTGTCCTGGGCAGCATAGAGTTCAGCTGCCATATTTTCTTTTGGATGTTTTACATTCCTTCCATAATATAAGATCTGTAGTTATGGCTAAGAGTGCTTAGACATGTTTTCTTTATCTTCCTATTACAGGGTGTGATATGTGCGCAGATAATCGGAATGGAGAATGCCCCATGCATGGACCTCTGCATTCACTGCGACGGCTAGTGGGTACTAGCAGCACTGCATCTGTAGCACCTCCTCCTGAAATCCCTGAATGGTTACGTGACCTACCGCGGGAGGTGTGTCTTTGTACCAGCACTGTACCAGGTCTGGCATATGGCATCTGTGCAGCTCAAAGAATTCAGCAGGGCACGTGGATTGGGCCATTCCAAGGGGTTCTTTTGTCTCCAGATAAGGTTCAGTCAGGAGCAATACGAAACACACAACACCTCTGGGAAGTAAGTAACATTTATATCTACTCTGCTTTTTCTTTATGAATGTTGTATAAGCTATGTGTTTTATGTGGGCGGAGAATGTTCACTTAGCAAGGGGAATTTGCATTGACTGCAATTATCCATTCATGTACATAGGAACATCCTGTTTTTTTTTTAATTTCCCCTGAATATGATTGGGCTTTCAAAATGAGTACATTGCTGAGTTAACACTATCTACACTATTAGTAAATGAAACCCAGAGAGTTTAATAACATTGACTTAAAAGTATGTAACAGAATAGTCTATCCATTTAAATCCATTTGATTAATTCTAATAAGATGGTCCCCCATATTAATTTATAATGAGGGAAAAAATCTTCCCACTAAATTAACTTGTTGAATTGACCATTCCGACTCTAAGGCTGAGTTCATACCTTTTCGTGTGTGCATTGTTGTTTATTTTTGTGTGCATTGATGTGCATTTCTATGTGCTCTGCACTACTTTGTCGGGTTTTGTCAGCCAATTAAATTTTGGGTAAATTGAGGTTGCTATGAGAACCGCTGGCTACCATGCACAGGAAACTTGCTAAAATGCATATGTTCCCATGCACTGCCACTGCCATGAATAGGGCCTACAAAATGCACCGACACACTAAAAATGGATTTTCTCTTTTTTGGGCCCATGCACTTGAGTGTACCACACAGATGTGAACTAACACCATTAAAAACAATCACCAAGCTTTGCATATATTTGTTAACATGCATTACAATACGTGCATTAAGATGCAAGGTTGTGAATGGGGCATTACAGTATATTGTAGGTTTAAACTATGTTTACATTAGCTTTCAGTAATTCAGTGTACAGCAGCACTTGGACTATGAAAGGGAGGATCGGCACTCTGGGCTAACCAGGGCTTCGTTGCTTTAAATAGTGTTGTCAGTCTATTTTGAACATACTTGCAGTTATAAGAGTAATGTAGGGCATATATGTGGGCATATAATTGAGATCCTGATATTTATTATTATTATTTTTTTTTATTTGCCTGCTGCTCTGCTTTAAGACAATCTCAAGACTTATTGATCTTTAGTAAAATTTGTCATATATTGGGAAGTTCAGCTATTGGTTTGGTGTCATATCTTGCCTTACGCAATTAAGGACAAATCTGAAAGAATTGGTAATTTGATGATAAGGCCATGGCCCTTTACAGTTATTAGACAGTCAGATGTGATCTTTATCCAGGCTTACTGGCCAACACAATTTTTCCTTCTTGGCCCAAAAGGCTGTATGCATTGTTTTCCATGCTGTTGGGTCCATAATTGTCCAGCAAATTTCAACATATGCTTGTCAAGTCACACACAGGTCATGATTGCTACTGTACAAATCTTGTTTAGATTTTTTATGATTGCATTGTAGTAAGGAGACTGGACACTGCTTCTGCTGTTATTATCATCATGATGTAGGAAGAACATGACTCCTTAATCTTTAATTTCACAATTATTCTGTGAAAATGAGGGTTTCAAAATGATGAACCAGAAATTGGCCCATGACTCCCAGGACCCAGCACTGATGCTGATTTAGGAATATTTTGTCCTCACTTGTGGCAACATTATGGTTTTATGGTTAGATCAGATATGCATGCCCTTTGAATATTTGGGATTCTAAGATTTACCAAGTGTCATTTATGCCATTGTTCAGATCCACCAGACATGGCCATGCTGTTATATTTTGTAGAAAACCCGAACCAGGGGATTCTAGAAGAAGATTCAAGGAAGCCATTAGGATCTTTTTCCATAGTTTGAACACATTTGAGTTAGAGAATGGTTCTACACCCAGAAATTTGTGGCAGCATGTGAGTTGTTTGTATTTATAGTAGATATTATTAACAACAGGATGTCTGAAGTTCTGGTTCACATTTTTCTCTAAGGACCAGAATAGTAGAGCTACATTGTTGTTAGGTGATCCACCACTATCTGACCTCTGCTGCTACACAACGAGTCTTATGCTGTGTTTAAAAAGAAACTTTCCACATTTAATCAATTGTGGTGTGTGGTTTTGTCCGTTGAGTGGCAATGATATTCAAGCTTAGTTCCAATTCTAAAACAGAGAACGGAGCTCAATTACAGACTTGAAGAGACAGCTAAATTCTTACATCCCTCGAGCCTGACATTGAACTCTGAGGCCACTCAGTGGAAATCTATCTCTTATCAGACATGCTAACATTTGTTTTATTGCTTTATACGGCCTTTTGCAATTTGATGAATCTATGTTTGACTAAATACATTCTATATACTTAAAAGTTTTTCTTTCAATAAATGTATATGGATGCATGGGCTCCTCATGCAGTATATTATTTCTGCTTTTCACAAATGCAACAAATAACCTTTATTGCAGCAGATAATCAGTACAGTTCATTTTTGTCTTTGTCCTATTACTCGAACCAATTAGGATGGAATTAATATTTAACTGTATGATGCACACCAAAGTTTGAATTCAATTGGTTTAACATATGGCATCTTCCAACAACTGAGTCACAATTTTCAGATGATAAATTTGTACTAGATTGTAAGCTCTCCTTAGTAGGGCCCTCCCAACCCTCCTGCCTTGAAATTGTATTGTAGCTGTAATGTCTCCCTCCATTTTGTAAAGCAAACTGTAGGTGCTACATAAATACTGTATAATAATAATTATAATACTCCGGGCTAGGTCATTAGAAAATAGATGTGTATTTGCGAATGATTATTGATACACATATATGTTCTGAGGTTAGATTACTTTGTATTTACCCTGTAAAAACAAATCATAAAAACTAGAGTGGTATGGAAAATAGCAATGGGACCAAAACCACAGCAGTAAAGAATGCTGCCAATAAAACATAGAAAATGCATAGAAAATGTAAAAGAAAAAAAAGGCTGATATTGATTCAAGTCACATTTTATGCACAGCTTGTTAAGTAAAACAATGCATATAGTCTCCTTTTCAGATTTCCATACAGACAAAGGATGGCCATTGCTAAATCCTTATAAAAAAATGTGGAAAACTCCTCCAGCCAATCATTTTCTGGGGAATAGAGTACCTGCTTAGATTTTATTAGAGGTTGCCTATAGTTACCCCAAACAAAGAGGCAGCACTGCTCACCACCCTATTGTAGTAACCTGTACACTTGTTAGAGTACATACCATACCAATACAATCATTGATTTAAGAAAAATGTTCATTCTGTAGGTACAGTGGGACTGATCTATTAGGCTGTTCACCAAATGTTTACTTTGAAAAAAGTTTTTTTCACTTTGCAAAGTATGTGATAGCGAATAAGGGGAAGTTGTCTTGACTTTGAATACCCAATAATTGTGAAAGAGAAATGATAAAAAAAAATATTTTTGCTAGCACATGATTGGGTATGTGACTTAACACAGCTTCACCTTGTTCAATAACATTCCCTTTGCTATGTGAACAGCCTCCATTCCTTTAGTAAATTGAGCTCACTGTGTCCAAACTTCTATGGATTAGAATGCATTTGGATTCTAATAAAGCATTTGAATAGGCTATAAAAAGTGAAAGTAAAATCTATCATAGAAAGAAAAAAATATACTATTCCTTATTTTGACAAATAAACTTTAGCATTTGTTTTGAAAAGGGAAAATACATTATAATTACTCTTCACAAGGGCAGCTATGCAATATACTGTACACTGTTTAAATATGTGGTCTGTAAATATTGGTCTATTATACCATGTTTAGAATAAGGTGTTGATGTATACAGAAATGGTTAACATTTAGGCTGCTACCCTGTTTGTTTTATAAATGAATGCTGCAATTGTTGAAATATATAGCCGCCCTGTATTCCCAATAGTTACAGTAACATTTGTGGGAGTGACTATTAGGCAGCATGAGCTAATAATTCCACTCTCTGATTTATACAATTCTTACAAGCACCCAAGAGGCCATTCTTCAACTTATTACATTTACATTGAAATAAATGTGGCTTATGCATAAAAATAGCAGCAACATCAAAACGTATTTAAACACTCAGCTTCATTTTCATATGGTAGAGCTGACGTAGCAATGGAAGAGACAGATTCTGAAACCTGTTTGATGCATAAGGTGCAGACTGTGCGTACATGCCACCTACTTATTTATGTTTTAGGCTTTCAGACATCAGACTTACCATCTCTTGTTTCAGGTGTTAAGATGTGGGGAAATATTTTCTTTTTTAGATTTTTTTGGTTTCTTAGGATTTTCCTGCAAAAAAACAATAATTTGAAGCGAAGTGTTTTTTTTTTAGAAAGTATTTTATCAACATATGCATCAAAATGAATACACATAAAAAGTTATTATAAGTAATATTATTATTATACATTTTCAAAGCTGCAATAACTGTCCTTAAAAATACTAAACATTTAGGACCCATTTACATTGTTGTGTTTTAACTGTTTTATTGTACATTGAAAGGCCTATAGAAGTCAAAGGCTCTAAAATGTATTTTGATGCATTTTTGTTTTTCTTTGCAATAGGTATTAACAAAGCCAATGGCTGTTAACTCTATCCACTCCAAATCATAAATTGGAAAATGCATTGGAAAAGCGTGTGTCAATATCGAATGTCAATGCATAAAGGAAATTCACATTGATGCATGATAATGCGCCTAGCTAAAGGCTATAATAAAATCCACCTCCGTGTCCATGCATAGATCTAATAGGGCTGTGAACAGCTCTAAAATTTGGTCACTGATTCCTATCCTTTTCCAACTTTTTTTTTTTCAAATAGAGTGATAAAAATTATCACTCTGTTATGCTACATGCTATTTTGTACTTGTTACATTTACTTTTGAACAGCTTTAAAGTAGACACAATGATGCCATTGTAGAGCAGGCTGGGATACTGTGGTATTGCTCTTTTTAAAATCATACTGTCGTTGTGTAGTACAAAAGTGTTTAATACAGTGAAACATTAGAAGTTTTGTTGCCTTTTATTTAAGTCTCCTATACGCAAAGATTTATATATCAACTGTCTAAGAGCTACATAAAGTC